TCCACGGTCCTTCATATTAAGATGCCTCCGCATTGTAACTCACCTGACCTATGAACAGACCCTGCAAAATAATGGTGGCTCAGGAAGGTTTCCGACTCTTAGAAGCAATCGTATCTTCTACTCATCTTAGCTGATGCTTTTCCTACCTACATCCTGTCTTCAGAGTAATCCTAGAGATACTGGTAAAGGGCACAAAACTGCTCATATGCCATATTAACTAAATGATTTCTTCAAAATCTGAGAAATCTGTTGTAGAGTTTTAATCCAGGAATTTTAATAGCAAGAGGTTTCTAAAGATATCCGAGTAACTTTATTTTTTTAAAGTAAGCATAAACAAATCACAAGTCTACACAATCTTTTACATTCTTTCTTATGGGTGAATTGGAAGCCAAGTGGGTAAGTACTTCCTTCTTTCAGAAAACTTCATATATGAAAATCCAAGCTTACAAAGGACAAATTAGGGGTGATAGCATGTATCACAAAGGTGTGTTTTGTACTATATCAAAAGATTTCGTAAAATTTCCCTTTAAATCACCAATTCCCAGTCCCAAATCAATTTTTTATTTAACAAGTGATCTGGTTTACAGAAACTACCTTTCAGTGTATTCATGAAGTCAAGTGGAAGAAAACTAAGAGGTAATCTTCTTGACTCACCAAATACAACCACATTAAAGTACTCGAAGACTCTTATTGCATAGAGAAAATTTTCTCAATTTTAGTGTGGTTTTTAGCAGTGTAGCCTCAACTTGGTTTTCAAATGAAACTGAAATATTTATAGCAGAGAAAACTCCACACAACTCTAGAGTTCCATGGAACACAGTTTGAAAACCACTCCTCCGGTTCATTGTTAACCTTCTCAAATTTGTCAGTCTGCACCTACAGGTAGTTGTCATATTTTCTGAAACAAACAGAACAGGTACACTACAATTTTTTATAAATGTAGTAAATCAGACCCCTCATATCGGTCAGGGTTCAGCTGCAGAGAACTGAACTGACACTGCATAGTTCAAGCAAAAATGGATTTATTAAATGGCTTGCAGAATCATTGGGCTAAATTTTCATTATAGAATAGGGTTACCACAGAACCCGTTCAACCATGAGGAAGCTTCCTGCTACACTGAGCAAATGTGAGTAAAGCTGCCAAATCTGGAGCCACGCTGCCTTGATCAGGAAGTTGCCAGGACTGTTGTGGAACCCTAGGAGCTAGTAAACAGGATGCCCTGCACCCCGACTCTCAACTCTATCAAGCTAGTGACCATGCCCTGGGTCTGTGGCAAACAATGCTGAAGAAAACCCAAAGGCCTCCACGATGGCCTCGCTTCCCACCTTCTGGAACCTGGTGCACTTGACAGTCCAGAATGAGTCTGCTTCCCAGCCTCAGCAGTAAAGAAAAGCACACCAGGTGGAAGTAGGCACATCATCCACCATAGCCACCCACCCCCAGTCCACGGAGGCTGAGTGCTGCTTCTGATGCTAGAGAAAGGTCTCTAACCGTTTGTTTCATAGCCCCCTACGTAAAATCAGGGTGTGCCTCAAATCTATTTACTACCAAATTCTCTTCCAGAAAATCTTGTTTTTCTAATATTACATTTTCAATCTCTACCAGCACATAGGAAAACAAATTTTGTAAATGTTTAATTTACTCTGTAGAGCAATACTTCTTTCCATGTGCCTGAAATTTGTTTGTTTGTTTTTAATATGCAGGGGATAATTGCACCTGTTCAAGCAATCTAGCGCTAGCCTTACGGTCTTTGCCTACAAACCTTCCTGGCTTTCACCTTTGTAGACGGTCATTTCCTAAATCCTTTGCTCTATCCTCCTACCCAGTCTTGAGTGGGAAGGGTGGCAGATTCAGGCAACCACGAACCTTCTTTTCCTTAACCCCCCTCAGGGAGTGATCACCATCACTGGTACCATCTTGGTATTCCAAGAAGGATGGCCACATAGAGATTCTCCAAGTCATAGAGTTGGCGAAATTCTTCCCCAGTTTGTCTAAAAACCATCCTCTAGAGCCAAGCTGGCTTGTTCAGTCTGACTCTGAGTGTCTGAGAGGCAGTTTGTTATAGAAACGGCAATACCTCTGGTGCTGGGCTGGTAGGAGAGGTGTCTTTTCTAACATTAACCACTTAGAATGTGTTCCACAAAGGAATCTGGCTGCACTGAGAAGGAAGTTGCTGCTGTTGTTATTGTTTTCACATGAGTTTTATTTTCAAATTCCTGAGGGCACAGAGAAGTGTGGGAACATCTTGCGGCTACCCTTTCCCCGAAGGCCGACTCGGGAGCAACCAGACACCAGTCCCTGACTATGGTCACATTCCAGACAGGCATTTACAAGACAGCACCATGATTAAAAGGAAACTACTCCATCATTAAGACTCCACACCTAATATCTGTGGGACGATTTTTCATGGAAATTATTTCTAAAACCAAACTAGACTGCAAACAGGTTTTCTACTTCATTTTTTCGGCTTCCTCTCTTCTAATGTTCTCTGTTTGCACTGAAGATGGAGGGAAGGGGAAATGGCATAAATTTCACTGAGGAGAATTTCAGTTGAGTTCAGGATGGGTGGAGCAGGAAGGGAAACCACCAGTCTGTAGATGTAAAGATTTAGAGATGGTAGGTCACTGGAATCTGGTAATGTTATAAGTCAGAGTCCACTGAGCTTTGTAAATCTCTCTAAGAACAGCCAATTAGCCATCAGCATCAGAAAGGACCTGTGTTTTGCTGTCATTTGGCCCTGCCTGAGTCCCCCATGCGCCTCTCCCAAATGATACACTCACATCTTGCACCCCAGTATGGCATAGGAGGGACACTATTATACTGACACCAGTGATGTTTACACTTACCTAGGCTAAACAATGGCTTACTGCCCTCCCTTCTCTCTCATACATGCTTTCCAAAAGCCTCTGCCAAATGCACTGTGCTCAGCCTCCCTACATTCCTCCTATCCCCTAAGCAAGCCCAAGTGATAGAAATGAGGGATTATTCTAGTGGAAAAAGTATTAACTGGGCAGGTTTATCTCCAGGCACAGGCTGCTTGAATAGGGGACTGTTTCATCCATTACAGGGATATGGTAGCGGCCTGAGGACTCTGTCCATTGTGGGCTGCACCCTCAGGCTTCCCCCCACCCACTCAGTACTGTCTAAGCTAGGAGGGTCTGGGATGACAAACTGTGCCCGTGCATAAGCACAAGCTTGCAGCCTGGCTTTCCCTACTCAGCCTTGTTGGGTGCCTTTAAGTGGCAGCCACAGCCATGCTATCTAAAGTTCCTGGGGCTTCATGCAGGATAGGCACTGGGGTGTGGTGAGCAAGGCACTCACCTTGAGTGAAAAACTTAAATGCGGGCCAGAAATATCAGTCATCAGGATAAATAATACTTCAATGTGAAATTTTAAAAAATGAAAATGAATGCAAAAAAATCCACGAAGTACAAAATATCAAAATCTTAAATAAAGAGAGAATCAACAGGGCTTCATGGGAGAGCTTATTAAAATTATATGGATTAAGACAAAACAACAATGTACAGACCCTAAAAGACATCGGGGCTTCCAAATGGCATTAACACTGGGTTCCCAGGAGGTCACAGCTCAGAGTCTCTAATCTTCAGCTTCTGAGGCCTGTGGGGTCACAGCTGCACTTTGAGGCCACTGCAGTGCTTGGGACACCTGCTGTGTGGCCCCAGGCTGTCTGGGAAGCCCAAGTCTCTGCGTGTTAAGTAAAGCCTGGCAGAAGGGGATTTTCCAAAAATAAGGCTGAGCACGACCCCTGGGAGGGAGATTGTGTTTAGACTCTCCATGACTCACACTTTCCCATTTATTTCCCATCTTGGCTCAACTGAATTACACCAAGAGGGCCAGATGCGGCCAGGAGGACATTCCCAAGTCTACCACAAAGAGGCGGTCAAAGGCAGTACCCACCTGGCTGGGCTAGCACCAGCTTCATTTTCTGGGATCAGAGCTCCCTCACTTTGCAAACTTCTGATTTCTCTCCTCTCATAGTGTTCATTTGTTTCTACTCAGAATTTGTGAAACATCACAAACCAAAAAGCCCCTCATGGAGCTGGAGGAATAAACACCTCTGATACAATATTTTTTAACCTGCTATGACTCGGAGCCCACCAGAGCTCCCAAGTAAGGTGAGTTTCTAGAACTGAGCATTTGGGCAAGGCCTGCCACCTCCTCCTGCAGCCTCTCTGCCCTAAGGCTTGGTTCCTGAACCCAGCAAGTATCTACTTGCTCTGCCAACTGCTCTTGGTGGATGGGGGGAAATCCCTGCCCTCAAGACAAAGGATCCATTATCCGACAGGCTCAATGCTCCGTAGGTATGGAGGAGGGAGAGGACAAGGTATTTATTTGTATCTTCATTTTATTTTTCAAAGTAGAGGCTGTCTTTGCAGGGACTTGAACCTCACTCACTTCCTGCAACAAAGGAGAAATTCTACTCCTTGGCTAGCTCCTGTGCTCCTGCCTTAACCACCAGTGGGGTTAAGAAAGCACAAGACTCTTTCATCCAGTTGGAAAAGTCCCAGCTTAGTGGTAGCCCCTAGGTGGTGCAGACGGTTAAGGAGCTCAGCTGCTCATCGAAAGTTTGAAAGTTCAAGTCCATCCAGAGGTGCCTTGCAGGAAAGGCCTGGTAATCTACTTCCAAAAAATCAACCATTGAAAACCCTATGGAGCACAGTTCTACTCTGACACACACGAGGTCACCATGAGTTGAAATAGACTCAGCAGCAATTGTTTTACCAGCCTCTTGGCTCAAGTTGTCAATCCTACCCAGTTTTGAATTTACCCAAGCCCAAAGACAGCTTGGACTTGCCTGATTCCTCAACAGGCAAATCCTCAATGCTTTATATTAAACCAATGAAATTTCCTAGTACTTGTGTTTTTATAAATCAAGATTAAATTAATATGTGGAAGCAGAGGTATTTGCTCAGAAGTATAAAAATATACACATGCTGTAATGAAGGGGCATCAGAAACTGCCCTCTGAAGCAGCTTACCCAGAGATCTTTCTTTTGTCTGGTTGGTCGACCTCACTACTGGAAGGCTTGCTCGAGTCCGGCTGCCTCTGGAGAAAGGACTTGGAGATTCTCCCTCAGACATGGCTTCCAAAGAATCACCAGACGCCTCTGATAAATGCTCAGCCAGGTCACTGAAGCTAGGAGGTTGAGGACTGTGAGACAGTTTGGGGCTTCTTGTCTGCAAAAGACATTTTTAAAGAAAGCAGGGAAATAGACTGTTACTCAGTATGCTGACAGTATTTTCAATGTCATCAAGATCTGCCAATCTAGGAGAACAATATGGAAAGGAGAAAAAGTCCATCAGAAGGGCTGGATATAGAAAACTACATGACCAGTGGGTCAAAGTATCAGTTAGGAGAGTTACTGAAAAAAAAAATATTGTCCCTTATTATTCTACTAAGATTTCTGACACTGGGCATCTACCATACAAATGCCACTTCTAACAAGGAGCTGAGGACAAGCCACATTATAGGATAGGAAAGAATGACGGCTGTGGTGCAGTGAATTACTTAATATGCCCCTTCTAGCCATAATCTTTGTGACTCCCACACAATGATTGGGTGGAACTATGCAAATAAGATGCATGGAACCTGTGATGGTTAAGGTTATGTGTCAACTTGTCTGGGCCATGATTTTCAGTGGTTTGGCAGTTATATAATGACATAGTCATCTTCCATTTTGTGATCTGATGTAATTATCCTCCATTTTGTGATATGTTGTGAATCCTAGCCTCTATGCCTGTGGTTATGGTCCCATTTGGGAGTGCGTTGTCTGTTATATTAAAGAGGCAAGATTAGGGTCATGATGAGTCAGAAATGACTTGACGGCAGTGGGTTTACTTCCCTAATAAACCCCATAATTGTGAGTATTGTCTGTGAGTTCTGTGTGGTCTTTGCAACAAATTATCAAACCCAGCAGAGAAGTACAGAGTGCTGTGGGAGGGACGGCCGGTGTAGGAATTGGAAAAAACGTTGGAGAGAGGAGGTATGTCTGACTTCCACCACATAGGAATCAGCCTAGGGCTGTTGATACTGATAATGATTCTCTCTCCCACCATAGTGAAGTTAGACAAGGGGGTCTGATGCCTCCGCCATGCCTCCATTTTCACAATGGCAAATCAATTCCTATTGCCAGACAAATTTTAACAGCTGTTACCACAACAGATAGGATTGTGCACATTTATATACACTCAACATGGATGATACAGTCACACTGGAGTAAACTGAACACGCCAGTCATTCTAAGTCTTGTATCAAGGCTGTTTACAAAATCAGTTAAAAAAAGATTTTGAGGGAGATATTTATATCACAATTGAATTTTTTTTTTTAGGAAAAAATCTCATAAGTAAGATTATGTCTAGCTTTGGCTATTACCTACCTTGCCAGTCAGCAGAAAGTATCCATAATAAATAAAATACATACACTAATACAATTTAATTTCTCTCTTAGTTATCTACATTGTAATGGCAGGAGGATGAATTTGTAAAATGCTCATAACCTATTAGTCAGTAACATTCCTTGAATATGTATTACAGGCTGAGCCCTGTGAGAGAGTCAGAGAAACAGACAACATGCTGCCAGACATCAAAGAATTTCTAAACTAATCGGTGAAATTAGGTAAGAACAACAAAAAACATGAGATAGTGTATAATAAAGTCTAAATTATGAACTGTGTGGTACATCTATTTAACCTTTCAACAAACAGCCATTGAGCATCTACTATTGTGAGGTTATGAATCACCTTACAAAGAGCAATTTGGCCTTTATCCTTGGTTCCTGAAAGATAATCTTTGGAATTTCCTGAATAACTGAAGTGCCTTTTGGTATCTAGGTCCCTGGGCGGTGCAAGTGGTTTGCACTCTATTACAAACCTAAAGGTTGGCAGTTCAAACCCACCTAGCAGCAGTGCAGAAGAAAAGCCTGGTGATCTGCTTATGTAAAGATTACAGCCAAGAAAATACTATGGAGCAGTTCTAACCTGTAACATACGAGGTTGCCACAAGTTGAAACCAAGTTGACAGCAGTGTGTTTCTTTTGTTTTTTGTTGTTATCTAGGCCTAAAGACTATATTGCAGGATTTGTGCCAATGAGTTGGAGGTTGACCAAGTCAGAAGGACACATCCCGAGCCGGATATCAGCTGACCTCAGGGAGGGAGGGGAGCATGATTCAATCATGCATACACAACGAGGCCCCAATCATGTCTACGCAATGAGGCCAGGGAAGGCTCTGGACATGAAGCTCTAGGAGCTTCCTGTTTGGTGAAAGACATCGATACATGTGGAATGGTAGTGTGCCCTTTTTGGGACATGGAAGCACTGTGTTGGGAAACCTCCTGGACCTTGTCCCATGCATCTCTTCTTTATGCTGATCTTGATTTGTATCCTTCTGCTATAGTAAATCTCTAATTTTAAGTATAGTACTTTCTATGAGTTCTGTGAGTTGTTCCAGTGAATTATCGAGCCCAAAGGACTAGTGGGAGCCAGCAAGTGAAAGTGAGGGAGCCCAGGGGAGGACCTGAGTTTGTGGCTGATATCCTGAAGGAGCAGTGGGAAAAGCCCAAATTAGTGGCCAGCAGGCAGAAATAAGGATGTCATGTGGACACCCAAGTTTGCGGCCGGCAACTGCCTATTTGACAGTCTGAAGGGCAGTGTCTTTTAACTTGTGTGATCTGATCAAACTCTGGGTGGTTAGGGTCAGAAGGAGAAAGTGCCACCTGGGTGGCTGGTGTCAGAAATGATTGAAAAGTGGGAAACTGGGGATTTGATTAATTCCTCATACTTTGGGGATTGGATTTATGTAGATTCTTATCTATGAAACTATGTTCTAGGCATTGTGCCTAAAGTACTGGGGACAGAATGATGTACAAAATGATGTACAGGACCCCCTGCCCTCATGATTCTTACAATCTAGCTGAGGGAACAGACATTAAAGAAAAATTACAGAAAAGGTACAAGGTGCAATGAGCGTGTGCAACCCAGACTGGGGGAGAGTAGATGGAGGTGGAATCAGAGAAGCATGTAAGCTGTATCTCAAGGAGAAGGAAAGTTGGGGGGAGGGCACAAGGGACAAGCCGGAGGGTAGGGAGGAAGAGAGCGAGAGGCATTCCAGGCAGAGGGAGCAGCATGTACAAAGTCCCTGAGGCAAAAAGAAGTGCCATGGCCTGGACGCTTGGTGAGGCCAGGGCCTAGAGGGCAGGAGATGGGGCTGGAGTCTGGTACCCGAGACCAGATGACTCACAGCCTTGGAGTCATGATTGTCGTGTGCCAGTGAGTCAGTTCTGACTGTGAGCAACCCTAGAGGAGAGAACTGCCCCACAGGGTTTCTGCTTTATGAGAGAAGATCACCAGGTCTTTTCTCCCATGGAGTCGCTGGTGGGTTCCAACCACAGATCTTTTGGTTGGCAGCCAAGCGCTTAACCATTGTGCCACCAGGGCTCCTTGGAGTCATGGTAAGAATTCTCAATTTGACTCTATGGAAACAGAATGTTTTAGGTAACAGGTGTTTTAGGCAGGGGTAGAGGCCAGGATCAGATACATTTTTTAAGAAGATTCCTGGCTGTTGTGTGGAGATTGGAGACCATACCATGGAAGGCTAGAGAAGGAGCTCAGCAAAAGCAGCGGGGACAAGGCTGAATGAAACAGGCTATCGTCAGCTTTCCCCTCTTCCACCCCAACCCCTGACGTGCATTACATGATTCCAGGCACCTACTGAGAGGCAAATTGATCTGAATTGATAAGGCAGATGAGTTTTCTCTTACTAGGATGCCAGCGGTACTGATGTCTGGTGTTTTGGATACAGGCAGTCTCCAACAGCTGCCACTTTTTGTTAGTTTGCATTCCTTTAGTTCCTGCAAGGCTTCCAAAGGATGCCAGTGGGTTTTGAACTTAAGCACCAAGACACTTAACTGTCTAGGCAGGGGCAGCCTCATATGTGTGTGTCGCATGCAGCTGCACAGGGCCAGCTCTTCAAAGGGCTCTGTGCTTGCTTTCAGGCTCTGCTGTGGCCTTTGTGAAATTCTGAAGGATTTTTGCACAGGGTTGTTGTTGTTGTTAGGTGCTGTCGAGCCGAATCCAACTCAGAGCCACCCCACGTGACAGAGTAGAACTGCCCATAGCGTTTTCTAAGCTGTATTCTTTATAGATGGAGCCCTGTGGCTCAGTGGTTAAATGCTTGGCTGCTAACCAAAAGGTCAGCAGTTCAAATCCACCGCTCCTTGAAAACCCTATGGGGCAGTTCTACTCTGTCCTATAGGGTCACTATGAGTCAGAATCCACTCCATGGCAACAAGTTTGGTTTGGTTTTGGTTTTATTCTTTACAGAAGCAGATTGCCAAGTCTTTCTCCCGAGGAGCCACTGGGTCGGTTCAAACCGCCAACTTTTCGGTAAATCACTGTGCCACCAGGGCTCCTTTTTTGAACAGGGCACTGTGCAGATTATGGAGCTGGTCCTGCATCAAGGCTTTAGCTACAGAGGTCTTGGAGGAATACCCTAAGTGTGTCTGAGTGCCTAGGAGAACTCTTCCTTCATGGGTGGTGTAATCAGCTCTTCCCTTTTTCTTGCTAAAAGTACACAGAGGCCTCTCTTGGCAGCAGCATCAGAGCATTATGTAAACACCACCCTTGCTTTGCCTATAGGACCTTTCCATAGAGGAAAACGGGACTACGGTCAGCACCTATGCCCTACACCCCATTATAGTGCAGGGTAAGGCTTTGCAGCTTTGGGGAGGTGGCCACCCCGGGTGTTGCCTAGGAGACTCTCAGCTCAGATTACAATATCATAGCCAGAAAGGTGAGGGGCCTCTGGGCAGTGAAGACACCAATTAACAGTTAAATTGTCCCTTTGGGTTAATTCTTCTGCCCAAGACCTCAGAGTGGTTTTATCCCAAGTTTATTTTTCCTGAAATATGCTTATGAGGATCTGGCTTTGGCACTCTATGAGAGTATTGTTTGACTAGAAAAATCATCCTCAAATCACTGCCCAGCTCAAAAAGACTTAGATAAATTCATGTGGTCTTCAGTGAAATAGCTACATGGTTACTGTGCTCAGCAGAACATCAAGCTAAAATGTCCTCATTCCTGTCTTTAAAAAAAAAAAAAAGAGGACACACTGGGCTTAGCAAAATAGCCAAGAAATAATACTGTTTTAAGCAACCTGGCTACATTCACAACCTCTGCTGTC